CGGTGACACACGTCATGTTGCAAAAGTGGTCAAATTTTTTTATTTTTTTATTAAGTCATTATTGATTAATAATTTCAATCAATACATTACAGCGGAAACAGTACTTTAAATAGCGAAAAGAAGCAAGTTATTTTATGTTTCCGATCCTGTATTTTCGATCAGATCATTTTAAATCGTAAAGTTGGCTCCAGAGCAAGATCTCTCTCCTACTGCACGTATTTTGTGACAGTTTTGGAGCAGCCCATTCTCTTTGTGCTGACCGACGGATCTAAACAACCAACCACTGCATAAACATAATAATACGCAAACTACATCTTTATTATCGACGCTCTTGGCACATTCTGGTCGCTACTGAAAATTTGTACAAATTGGGGAGTGGTGAGGTGCCATTGTCTACAGTGAAACCCTTGAACTAAAGCAACAACCATTTTCAACTTTTCCGAGTACACACTTAAACAGGTGTGAAGGACATTATTAAGTTAGAACTAACATTTTTTTTCTTACAGGATCCCAACACTTGGGCCAAAGTTAGAGTGTCGTGAATCATGATAACGAGAGGAAATCAGAATTAGACAATTGTCTGAATGTATATTTAACCTCATGACATAATAAATACAGATTTTCTTTTGCTAGGAACAGAGCAGGGCTTTGTTGCATTTCATAAATGAAGTACAAAAAATATTAGAGAAAAAATTATGTAATGAATCATGTTTACTTGTAGGAGCATTAATTGTTTTATATTTATCATTGGTTATTCACTGTCACGTGGGCACAGGTGATCACTTCCGTTTTCTTTATTATTTCCTTTGTCGAATTGTTTGGGGCTGTGTTTGGAAGGGGCGAGTTGCGGGAGCCAACTTTCTGTTGACCGTATTGCGTTCAATGAAACATGTCTGCACGTCAAGCTGAAAATAAAGGTGAAATCAAGTAAGATCATTAGTCTATTGTTTTGATAATGACATGACGACCGAGTGCGAGCTGCGAGCGGGTCAAGAGTCAGCCTCGTTGTGGCTATTGGATGCCGCGAACATAATAGCTATACAAACTATTTTAATCTTTTTGCTGGTGTGACCTCTCTGAGATTGGTCTGAGATCCTCCCGGCCCGGCCATGATTTCAAAGATATTGTCTGGAGTCTATCTGGTTACTATTGTGCAGTGGGTTAGCAGGTTACACTAAATATATTATTCACAAGTGAGAGTGTTCATAGGGGGCGAGACGCCAGATCATTTTGTAACGGAGACATCATCCTTGTGCAAGGGACCCCCATCCTAACATTTATAAGGCAGCTATATATTTCCATGTATAAAGACCCAATTTAAACTTTAAAAAATGAATATTATAAATATGTGTAAAATATTATATGGAAAAAAAAATGTTTTTATTATATTCCTGCATTTTCTACTATTTCTACTCTACTATAGTACTGCACTTTAAAAAAAAAATATATATATATTATTTATTTACAGAATTTTTTATTTATGTTTTTTAATTATTGCTTATTTGTTTTTACATTTTTTACACTGTTTTTCGCTACAATTTTCTACAATTTGCTACCGCTCCCCCGTGTGCACCCCAGTTTAAAAAAAGCCTTGCACTAAAACACAACAGGATTTAATGAACTGTAGATGGTTGACAGAAGAATATGTTTTACCATAAAGACTCAATCCCTCTTTCTCTCCTAACTGGAGTTTATAGACGGAAGGATGCAGCTCAGATTTAAAGATCTGTAGTGCGCTGAGGAAAAAGTGTAAACAGGTTTTTACATCTCTAAAAAGTCAAACGAGTAGAACAAATTAAAGGACCGGTTCATACGACCAACCTGTATGTGTCTCTGTCGATGTACACAACATCTTTCCTGCAAAATAAAGTGTATAAAACAGATTTTTAATCAGTCAATTAATTGTAGTTGGTAAAGCTAACATGTTTATAACATTGATTAAAGTCGTATAATACTGTACCATATTGATAGAAAATACAAAGAGAAAGAAAAATGATTCCACTTTTTGTTATCAACAACATGAAGTGTGTTACATTACTTTAGGGTTTCCGAAGGAATTTATTACATATAATCAGTTACTGCCCAGCACTACATATAATGTATATACAGTACTTACAGTATCATATAGTATTTGTTGCTTACTTTATTGAGTGTTTTGTAACTTCGGTTGGTTTAAAATGTGCTTTATAAATAAATACGGTATTCTATTGTATTGTAATCCCTGGAAAAATGAGAAGAACTGTATATTAAATCATTGGCTTCTGAAATATCAATATCTTACAGCGTGTACATCAGAAACTGAAATATGGGGACGCCTAAGCAGTTCTCCAGTTCTAAGCCGACTCTTCTCCTCTCCAGACACTTCAACAGTCCTCCTATTGACCTCACCTACAACAAAGAAGATTACCATGACATGCCTGTTCATTTATCCAGCATAAATCATCTCTAATGTCTCACCATCAGCTCTGAGTCTAATGGGATGCAGGAGGAGAGAAACGGGATCTTCTCGCTCTCTGTGATGGTGGGAGGGAGAAAGCAGAGGTGTGCGGAAAGAAGTCGCTGTTTGCTGACCTCCACACCTGCAGAGGATGGGAGAGGATCAATTAATGTGAGACATTTTTCACTAAGCTGGTAAAACGGTGGATTTCATGCACATATAGTATATGACAATACCTCTATTTGTAATGATTTATTTTTTATTGCAGTATATATACACATTAGACAGATTTTGGGGAAAGACTGACCAGATCTAAACGTTATGCACATTTTTTTTTAAAAAGCAGAACATCCTGCTAAACTTTTTTGTGTGTGTGTGTGTTATTACATAGAATACAAATTTCCATGGAATTGTGATAGAGAGCAAAATAAAGCTATGGGTCAAAAATAGCTTACCAAAGTTTGCAACTGGAAATATGACGATTTCTGGCTTATAATCACGGTTTAATTCTGAAATTAAAGCAAAGGTTTGATAATATGACACTTTTTTTCTTTTTTCTTTTGAGATGGTCTTTGCTGATCATATAAAATAATGATTTAGAGAAAATGTAATAGTTTACCAAGTGTTTCGATAAACCGGGTCAAGCTGTGGTCTTGTTTGGCACTTGTTATTATGACATTTGGACTCAGCTCTTGAATGACTGAAACAGAAAATGAATAATGGCAAAAACAAACCAACACAATGACAATCGAGCAAATACATGCATTCTAGCAGATACAACCAGCTGACACGGCAAGCTAGCTGTGTGTGCACCCATGTAACAGCAGAGAGAGAGAGAGAGAGAGAGAGAGAGAGAGAGAGAGAGAGAGAGAGAGAGAGAGAGAGAGAGAGAGAGAGAGAGAGAGAGAGAGAGAGAGAGAGATGCAGTACCTCTATCCAGCAGGTGGAGGCCATTGTCCATCGTGTCCAGCATGTAATGTAGCGTATAATCGCTACTGTCATAGTAACTCAGTCCAATTTTAGCATGTTGAACAAATATACTCAGAGAAATCTAAAATTAAACAAAACGACCAAATGTCCGAGTTACTAACGTAACGTTAGTTAAGAACATTACTGAGATATTATTAAATACTTCGTATTTACCTCATGGTTTCCCGTAACGTTATCCCCCTCGTCCTCATTTATACTCAAAGCTCTTTCTGGTTCTTTTAAAATGTCCCTTTCAGACATATTTCACTGTGTAAAAACACTTTACATTCAGACATTTATACTTGTCACGCCATTCATCGATGATGAAGGTGTATTTTGTCCCTTCCCCTGAGGAAAATACGCAGTGAATAAACAGGAAATTCTCTGAGGTGAGTTTCTGAAGTTCGAGTATCTAACAAGAGAACGAACACGTTAAAGAGATAGAATATCCGCTGTTTTAATATATTTTCTTTTTTTTTTTCTGTGATATTCGACAAACCGTCTCGCTGTTTTTGGTTTTTCAGTCTTCAGACAACAAAACACACGAGCGCGCGCCTCGATCGCGTCACTAGTAACGTTACTTTTTTGGTGTTGCTCGTGTTTCTGACAATAATCTAAAAGACACGTATTTTCTTATACATTTATTTATTTTTCTAGCCAAGTTTATATATATATTCTTGTCTGTTAAACTACTTTAATAATTTTTTTTATTTTATTTTATTTTTTGCAAAGACCTGAAATGTTATTTGGTTTATGTTATTTTATTTCTTATAATGTATAAAATGGGTCTCTATACTTTTTTTTTTTCAAATTTCATTTATTTTAAATTAGCCTATAGCCTATCACCATGTCTTTAGTTTTTTTTTCTCTTTGTATACTGTTTATCATTATATTATTCTTGTTAAATTCTTTTGAGTTGTAACTGTATGTATTTGTTTTTATGTTCATTTTAAAAAAAAAAAACTAGTGTATGATTAATGCACAAAACCAATTTTTTACTTTAATTTAAAATAAAAACACTTACAAAAATGCATTCATTTCTACTCTATAGAAGAAGAAAAAAATCAAGCAAGCCTATAGGCACAAAAAAGGTTATTTATTAAGTTGAATTTATCCATGTGTCAAATGCAGCAATGATGATTAAAACAGTAAAGGCTTCTTGTTAGGATTGTTATAAAAATAGACACAAGGGTTGGTAACACTTTATTTTACAGTCCTTGTTGCACATAACACTTTACAATAAGGTTGTATTATTTCACTACACCAGTTAACATGAACTAATAATGAACTTCGACAGCATTTATTAATCTTTGTTTACTAATACATTATCAAATTATATTTAATACATTAACTAATGTTAACAATTAACCTTATTGTAAAGTGTTAACATATAGCAATACCTATGCAACTAACCCTAAACCAAACCCCAATCCTAAGTACATGTAGTTAAATACAGACATCTTAAAATAAAGGGTAACCCAAGGGTTATAGGAAGTACTTTATTCTTTAACAGAACTCATAATTATTTAAGATATCCCCAAAACTTTGCTATTGTTGTTGGTGGTGTGAACCTATGCATTTTGTCTGTTTTTTGTTTGTTTGTTTTTTTTGGAATAGAGTCCATTAGTTGAGTTTACTGTGAATAAAGCAATGCCAGAAGAAGCGAAAGCAGAGTGCTAGATACGCCAGCAGAACCGGCTGAGACGCCGTTGCAGAGCATAGTATCACAGCAGTCGCTGGTGAAGGTAAAGTTTAAACCAAAGGCAAACTTCTCTCCTGTTAATCCACACAGCGCAGGAAGAGCACAGCTCTTTTCATACAGGGTGACCTGAAAATCCCCTGTTCAGAGAAAAACAAGCACAGAAATACTGTAGGCCACATGCTCAATTTTTATCCCAGATAGCACAAGTCTATTTGAAGACGTATTTTTAAGACTGTTTGCTCGTCTATAATACGTCTATAAGACGTTTCCTGTCAGATGTCAAATAGACGTTTAAAAGATGTCAGTTTAATCTTAAAGACATCTTCTAAACGTCTATTTGACATCTGACAGGAAACGTCCTATAGACGTATTATAGATGAGCAAACACTCTAAAAATACGTCTTCCAGATGTAAACATCACATCAAATAGACTTGTGCTATCTGGGATGGCACATTTTTGAAAATGTCTGGCTAATCTAATGCACATTTGTTTGCTAAATTCTAGTAACTGGATTTCGAGGTTCTAATTGTTTGCAAGTAAATCAAGCACGTAATTGCAACCAAATGTCACAGACTGAACCAGTGGCGTAGCCAGGGGAGGGGCCATGGGGGCACTGGCCCCTCCTGAAAACTGATTGGCCCCCCAGTGTGCCCCCACCCTTCTAATTGTCTGTCACTCAAAAATTCAAATCATAATCTTTCAGCTTGTAGAATAATTCATGATTCCGCGTCGCGCGATGCTTCTCAAAACCACACGGTAAGTTGATATATTTTATACAGCTTATTATTTTTTAAGGAAAGACGATGTGTATTCACCCTGCTGAGGGGAAAATGATAAAGCCTGGAGTGGAGCGAAAGCACGTTCCTCTCTCCACTCTAAGCATTCTGTAATCACTTCGCTCATGGTCCACTCCGGTTTTTCAATTCCCGCTCAAGGAATAACTGCTCCATGTTCACTCAATTAGTCTTAGATTTTGAGAAGTACATGTCAGGCTACTGCTCGTTTGCTGCGGTCGTATGATAGAAAACAGAACGCGGGTCAATATTGGTCGTTTCTCAATACCAAGAACGCAAACTTCGGAGAACGAACTCCCGAGGACGAGAGGACGCGAGTCCGGTCATTCTGCCAATGGAATAGCGCGTTCTTGATCGCGTCACTCAGCATGCGGCTACTCCGGTTATCTCTTATATGGTATAAAACACAACTTTGCTTCTTTTCATCAACAATAAAACGAAATACATATAAAACAGCACTCTGCCTCATTTCATTTATAAATGGACATTATCATGAACAGATTAATGGCCACAAAAATGTGGTTCAGGTAACCTTAACTCACATTGACTATCTTCACTGCATATATTTATAACACGAAATATAAAACACAACCCTGCTTCTTTTTATTTTCATTTTAAAAATGTGAAACATTATTGATCATTAAAACTGACATTTAACAAACAGACAGGGTTGTATCGTTTTGTTGTATTACACACAGTGAAGAGAATGTATAGTAAAAACATACACATATAAAGAATATTTTATATATTTTAGAATATATAAAATTACACAACCATGTCTCTTTTGTTAAATGTCAGTTTTAATGATAATATCCCATTCAAAAGTATAAGTAGCCTAATAGGTAGGCTATAATAAGCTATACAATGAGAAAACAAGTAAACAATTCAGTTAAACATAAGTCAGCTCTCTAATGGGATACAAAGTTAAAGTTAAATAGCCTAAAAGTTAAATATATAAAGTTATGAAACTTCACTTTTCCCTCAGCCAGTTAGCATTGTTTGGTCTTATAAGATAAATAAAAACATGCACTGAAAAGTTATGTAGATGGTTGATTAGGCCTATTTGTCAAGATAAGTAATTGTTTTTCATAAATTAAAATAGCTTTTAAATTACGCAAACTGGCAATATTAGATCGGTTTAAAACATCTCTCCTTAAAACGCTATTGGTCTCGACTATTTAAATAAAGTTACAGGAATATGACTTGGCCTGAAAAAAAAAAAAAAATCAGTCAAAAGAATTTTTAATTTAATCCCTGCATCCAGAAACATTCTCAAATAAAAAAATATAAAAAAGATAATTAAATAAAAATGCATGATTAAATAGCAAAATAAATAATTAATACGTCACTGTTTCTATGATCCACATATATTACATTAAACTTAATCATACCTTTTTGAAAAAGTAGCTATCTAACAAAGTATTATATGTGATATTTTACAATCAATATGCTCAAGACTAATTAGCCTTCCTCGAAATAAGCAGATTTGGTCTATTCATCAATGCAAATTTACTGCAACGGCTGAAATGCAAATTGAATAGGATGTGGGGAAAAAGATGTATACAATTTTATTACAGTTTTATGAATTCATTAATTGTGTATTTATTATATGAATGATTAATATAATTATGCATTTATATAAATAAGGCTGTTCTATTATTATTTGTGAGTTGGACACTAATTCATTGGATTATTTTATTTATTACAGTTTTTCTATCACTTTTGTAAAGTGAAAAGTTAATATAAATTGTATTTTATTGTTTTGATTTAGAGCAGTAAATAACTGCTATTAAAAGATAACAGGGTATCACTGTTTATTGCTGATTTTAAAGCTTACTGAACTTGAAATGATTTGGATATCTACAGTTCTACATAAATACACAACATAAGAATGGCCCCTCTGTAATAATTGTGGCCCCTCTTGTGCCCCCCAGTTGAAAAAATCCTAGAATCGCCCCTGGACTGAACAGCATTCATGACACATGTACATACCTCGCTTTCCTACAGCTTTGCTAGAAAGACAGAGCTGACCCGGCGAACAGCTGGTGGGGAACTTCAGACAGTCCAGGGGTGAGATGGAAGGAAATACACATGTATAACAGAAGAGAGGAACTGAAAGAAAAGAAATATATTAGCAAAATGTGTAGAAGATGCTATGCAAAGACACAATTGAATTAAATTAGAAGCTTTTTATTTTCTTAATGCATTGTAGAAAAAAAAAGCATTAGGGCAGAATGTATACAACTAAATTCAATGGAATTCAATCGCACCCGGTGGCTATTTTTGGCACTACGCCTAAATACAATCTCGTGGGAACTTACATTTAACATTTTTGTGATATCAACTTCAAATTTGGAACATAACTTGATAAGATTTATGACTTTGATTTTATAGTAATTTTAGAGTAAAAACTATTTTGCAAAATATATATTTTATATAAAATACAAATATATAGTACAAGAGGGTTAAAGGATTAAAGTGCACCCTAAACTTTAAAGCACAGTCACTAACTAGGCCTATTCCTAAAAATTACTTGACATTTACATAAACTTTTTAAGAGCTATATAATAAAAACAGTAAATTAGAGCTATATGAAGAGATAAAGCTTATGGAAGTGAAAAACTATTACAACAAATGATGGCATCGCATAACCGATTACTTTAACTTACCCACAGACGGGAGAAGACAAAAGAAGAGGATGTGTCTAAATTGTTGAGACATATTTAGATTGTCTCAGTCTACAGCGTAATCCTTTTACAGGTCAGAATGGTCCAGATTTTACATTATCATCTTTTCCTCTTACCCTTCCCTTTTAACATCAAAATGCGACTCCACCCTTGAACATAATTCAATTCAGGCTACAGCAGTTTGCTGAAGCATCACTGGCAGAGTTCTCCAAATGCCATAAGCGATGCCATATATTTTTTTAAAATAATAATTATTAACTCCTTGATTTAGTGTTGGATTCACCTCATTTAGTTTATGAAAGCTTTCAATCCATTCACTATTTGTTAATGTACAGAATCAATGTGGGTTCAACATCAAAAATATTACATTGTCAACTGAAGTTCTTCCTATTTGGACGTTTAATGCCAGCCAATCCCAAACTTGCAGGCAGACAGAAGTTAATACTAACATAAATACAACAGATCTTCAAAACAGCTGGCTTCATTTCAGCATGCAGCAAGAGGACTTTCAGATCTTGAGGATACAATCTGATGCCTTTTCTGGCTAAGTTGAAGCAGCAGCACTGATTTAATTACAGAATATATTTGTTAATGAAAGGCGTGCAGGGTAGAGGATGGAATGTCAAATGACTGCGGGTCTTGTGATTGTAGGATTCAGTTTTATATAAACCTACTTAATTAAGTGCTCTCTCAAGGCAGCTTAGTTCAGAAACTTAAAGCAGTGCAAGTAAAACAAGATATGAAATGTTACAGCCAATCTGTTGTCATTCATTTTAGACAAAGAAACTGCTAAATAACACAAGGAGCATTGACTCACATTACTTGGTGGGGGGGTTGAGGTAGATCACACATTTACCTTTTATCATCCTCGTTCACCCGACTCTAAATACAAGAGATATCAGCACTGCATCATATAAGAAGAGAAATAAAAACCAGACATGAATACATTTCACTTCTTTTATTGTAATCCAAAGTTCTACATGGAGATTAGCGGTTAGATTTGGCCACTCTCTCCAGCTCATCTTTCTTCTTGATGGCATAAGAGTTGGATGAACCCTGCAATACAAACAGAAAAACAACATTGTAATAGAAGAACAAATTTAAAAACAACAAGATTCATACATTAACCGTCACACTGTACATTAACTCCAATCAGTGTCTCTCACCTTGGCGGCGTTGATGAGCTCATCAGCAAGACACTCTGCGATAGTCTTGATGTTCCTGAAAGCAGCTTCTCTTGCACCAGTGCAGAGCAGCCAGATGGCCTAAAATCATAACACCAACAGACAATAAGTGACCACTTTCACATACGGGCCATATCTTCACCAGCCACTTCTGAGAACGACCAAATCGCAAAGGCCTAATGAAGTGGCTTGAGTTACCAAAAGCATCCTAACTTATGACAAGTCCCTTAAAAGTCAATATGCAACTCATTTTTAACCTTAAAATAACTTCATTCCTGGTGTCACTGATATGCACTCTTAAACAAGTTTGTTTATTGGCATATTATATCGTTCTATGAAAAACATTTAACATCCATGGAACCTTTACACACAAAAAGTTCTTTAAATTAATACAATGTTCTTCACACAAAGAAAAAAAGGGGTTACTTTAAGAACTGTTCACTGAACAGTTCTTTGGGGAACTAAAAACAGTTATTCACCATATTCAATGCATTAGTGTGAAAACACCCTTTAGGAACAATTTTAAAGTGTACATCACTACAAAAATAAATTAGTTAACCAATAACCAAATGATTTATAGTAAATGCTATATATGTATCCACAAAAATTGATTTGTGCACCATTTTCAAAAACGTTTGCATATTCTAGCCACCAAAACATTAAGAATAAACGACCGAAAACACAAAGCTTCCCATGTCGTGTAAACGGCCTCTAAAGAAACTATAAATAGCCAGATAGAGACATTTAGAAAGTTCCCTCAAAACGACACTTCAATAAAATCAGACCTGATTGACCCTGCGCAGGGGAGACACGTCAACAGCCTGTCTCCTCACGGTTCCAGCACGTCCGATACGAGTGGAGTCTTCACGAGGGCCGCTGTTGATGATGGCGTTCACCAGAATCTGCAGAGGATTCTGGAAACGAAATAGAAATGGTCAAATTACTAATACAGAATATTAAGATCTAAAAAAACAATTACCAAATGTTCATTCTGGAATATATTTAAACAGGCCGTATATTTTTGCAATGACAAAACAAGGCAACTAAGCATGAATAAGTGTGTAATATGGTCTGACCTCGCCAGTGAGCAGGTGGATGATCTCAAAGGCGTGTTTCACGATGCGGACGGTCAGGAGTTTCTTGCCGTTGTTGCGTCCGTGCATCATCATGGAGTTAGTGACGCGCTCCACAATGGGACACTGAGCCTTGCGGAAACGCTTGGCTGCGTATCTGCCGCTGGAATGGGGGAGGTATTTGGCATATTTCTCCTTCACGGCAATGTAATCCTATAGAGAGAGAGACATGCGTTGAGTGATATTTTTGCTGTGAAATACTTAAAGATTTTTCATATAGTAAACTAATAACAACTTTCATATTGTTATTAATATTTCAACATATAAAGGACTGAAGCCACTTTGATTTACTTGATTCATATAAACAATTTTTAAATCATGTTAAAAATATTAAGACATTTTGTAAGTCACTCTCGTAATGCATTGTTTTATGTTTTGTCCACATTTAAAACTACATTGCTTTGCATCATAAAGCATTTTAAAATCTTACCAAGACATATTGACAGATATAGAATGACAACTGATGTTTTTATACATTAAATAGTCTGTAATAACAAAATCTTATCTATCAATCAATCAATCAGAATTGCATCCTGCTTTTTGCCCATACAAATAACTTCGGCAACAAATTGTATATTTTTGTGGCCAGTTTGGTCCTCTGAATGCGTTATTCCTCCCAGAGTTTAAGATCCATACTCGCTTTTAATTCTGTATGCCATAAAATCCTTTCGTACAATGCTAAACAAAAAGGATTTTTTGTCTAATACATTTACGATTTCATATGCAAGACAACAGGGTTAATGGCAAATAAAAAACAAATATGCAATCCTTACAAAACCATGTAATGTTATGTCCAGCTGTGTGAAAGTGTCCAACACACCTGCAGGGAGATGTCATTGATCTGGACATCATCTGTGCTCCATTTGCCAAAGAGTTTGATCTCTGGTGTCTCAGCAACAGCTGGTGCAGCCTCCCAATCTTCAGCCATCTTTACAATCAAATGAGAATAAGCACATGTTTATGTACACAAGGGTGTCCACAACACACAGACCAACCCTTATAAATCATAGACGTAGCAAAATAATCCTTTATGAATTGAGGGAGAAAAAGGAAGCTGAATTCAACAAAAATAACAAAGTTAAATGTCATAATAACGCAATTCTATTTAAAAAAAATACGGGTGTGCCACACAGAAAAAGTGCAGGGAATTTTAATTAATACAATAAGTTACATAATGTAATATTCCATTTAAACAAATACAACGTTATGGAACTTGGAAGTTAAAAGAAAGATAATCACGATAGCAAGTCTCCATATAGATAACGTTAGTGAATATGATCCCAACCGAAGAAAGATAACGTTACACAGCATAAATGTACTCTCAATCAGTGACTTTACGGCGTAACCCAATAATACAGTTAACGTGATTTATCCAAATTTGACACTTTGTGTAATAGAACAAACACAATGTCATAATTCAGATGTGCGGGTTCTCCCTCGGTCTTTTCTAAGGGAGAGACAGCGGGCTCATGTACCGCTCACAGAAGACGCACAAAATCACCGTTTTGGATGAGCTACTTGACATATACGAGTCAAAATATGAACATGATTCTGTTAAACACCAGATGAGTATATATTGATGTGGATGGAAAGGGTATAAAGGGTTTAAAATCAGTTTTTCGTCGTTACCTTCGCAGCGTGTGTGTGTATGGCGCACTCGAGCAGGCGGAAAGGAAGATCGACACGAGGGCCGAGAAAAAAACCACTTCCGCTTGAAGCGCTTCCGTGTCGAGCTCTTCTTCTGCGCTCTCTGCGGACGATTGAGGGGAGTTATCGCCCCCTGCCATTTACTGCGAAAATAATTATTGCTGTAATATTTGTTATTGTAAATTAGACAGTGTACATAAACTCTAGAAAATGTTGCTTTTCAATGAGTTTAGCTTTTTTAGGGTTGAGGTTAGGGTAACAAGTAAAAAACTGTATCAAAAAATGAGACAGAAGTAGTGTAGCAAATTAACACATTTAAATGTATTACAATACCCGATCAATTGAAAACAAACGTTTGATCAATCGGGAATTAAGAGTAAAAGCCGCGTTATACCCGACACTTTTGTTTGTTTCAGCAGAGCTTATTTCTTATTTTTAGCTGGCAATACAGCTAATGTTATTCAGATGCAAAGTTTAAAAAAAGAAAACCATTTCTTTGCAAATTAAGCTATCGTCGTGTCGATCGTGTCACGTACCTTGTCGTGACCAATGACTTGTGATAACCATAGGTGATAACGTACGCTTGAGAAAACGCCAGTATAACGTAGGCTACGCGGAAGAAAACTTCTGGATTATATTATTACTAATAGTGATTGTTGTAAACCCTCAGAAACATGAAAACAGAGTGTGTTGTTATGATGATCATATCCCAAATTAAAAAGGAACAATAGTAGCCTACAGATGATATAATTTACCCTAAGTATTAGAATAATATTTAGACGTTTACACACGTTTATTCACACGTATAATCCAGACGTTTATTGACCATTTTTTCACAAATTCGCACACGCTCACACCACCACACTTTTTATAGCATGTGCGATTTTCTCTCTTAAGAAAAATTAACATCTACTGTAGCCTATCTATAGATATAGGCAATATGTTTCCAATTGAATCAAGATCGTAATAAAACCACAATAATTAAATTTAAATTGTACATTTTAAAGCAGTGACGTTATCCGCCTACCAATTACTGCACCACGCTGTCACTATAAACTTCATAGTTAGGCTACCAAATGTTTTTACAAATAGCCGACACTTATTATATAGCCTAGTGATGCAAGGTTTTTTTTTTTTTTTTTTTTTTTTTTTTTTAATGACTTATACGGCGAACTTATGACTAGATGTTTTGAGGGGTAAGAGG